TTAAAAACAAATAATTTGGGTCAGGGACTATGCCAGTTACTATGTTTATAAAATGTTTTGTACAGTGAAGTTCTGGTTAAAATCTCTTGACACAATGATAATACGCATATGTAAATAACGGAATAATTAGATGTTGGAAACATTCACTTGGTGATTATAAATATATAATCAAAGTGTATAAAAAATTTGAGATGCAAATATTCTACACATGCCTTCTCTATACACTGGTATTTCTAAAACCATTTCTTGTGTTTTAAGTGGTTTTTGGATCTTTTTGGAGGAGACTGTGGAACAAATTCATCCATAGTGAGTCCCTTGAAGTCAATGGAGCTATACCATGGATGAATTTGCCTCCATTACTGTGCAATGAAACTTTGCATGGAATAGTCAGTTGCATAACTACATTCGCTCCTCAGCAATATGCTTGCCTGTGATCCAGTATGTAGGTGTCTTAAATGTATCCTTCTGAAGATACATGTCACTTGAATCGTGATTGTTCATTGTACGCCTCTGCAGACCTAACACAGCCAAGGTGTGATTCCATTTGTTGTTTGAATAAATTAGACCCACCCATTCATATCTTTTTTTCTTAATAAGGTTTATTCTTTATGTTGTGTAATCTTTTTATAACTTTTTGTATCATGTTCAGCTTCTCGTAGGGATACAGAGGGACAGTAATAAATAGCACATACCAGATCTTTAGTAGTAAACTTGGAATGCAAAGTTATTTGTGTTTAATGTGTATCATCATATCTGTTATATTTCAATGATTTCTGATGATTGGTAACTTAAATGTTTGCTGCTGATCTAGAAAATGGGGTGTGATGGGGATTTTTATATTCATGGTTTTTGTTATGTTTTAAATTGTTCCTGTAGACATGACGGAGCGCACCAGAGAATGAAATATTATGTGTGGGAACTTGGGGGAGGAAGGGAAGGGATTCTCTGGAAACCTGGTTACTAATTGCGACAGAGAATACTGCAATACAGAATCCTCTGAAGATCAGACAGAGCATGGCAATAAATAGGAACAAATTTAAGTTTTGCAACATCAGAGGGAGAGTTTTATTCAGTTTCCTTAGAAGTCAGTGTGCTGATAAACCAGTTGAGACATCAATCCTTGAATGTCACAGTGTATCTGTGAAAACTGTTTCCTATCATTGCTTTGAGGGGTGTCTTTCTAAAACAGACACATCAATATGTAAATTGGGCTAAATACCAGTGTAGAGAAATCAGTTGCCAAGAATTACAGACTAAGCTTTCTCACTTAACCTATGTAATCTGGGTCCTTGGAGTAACAGTATAGAAAAAAGTCCTTTCCAATCTGTTAGTGCTTAGGAAAGACTAGAATAAATAATATCAATTTTATTTGTTATTCATCCAGCAGTGAAGAAGTGTTCTAAACTGTTCCCAAAACAATAGTGAACAAAGAGTAATATAGAAGTGACTTAAAAATTGTTAGTAGTTTGCTTGGCATTTTACTCTGTTCAAATCTGGTTGATATGTGGTCTCTATGAATGCTGACCATAATACTAATCTAATGATAATAAATAGGGTGATCATGCAATTAAAAAAATAATACTGATTAATTATGCAGTTAATCAAACTGTTAACAAATAATAGAATAACACTTAAATATATTGTATATTTTCTATGTTTTTAAATATATGGATTTCAGTTTTAAAACAGATTACAAAGTGTACAGTGCTCACTTTATATTTATTTCTGATTACAAATAGTTGCACTGTTTAAAAAAAAAGAAAAGAAAAAGTAATACTGTAGTATTTTAAAATTCATCTTATACAAGTACTATAGTGAAATCTCTAGCATGAAAATTGAACTTAAAATGTAGACTTATGCACAAAATGAACTCAAAACTAAATATTGGAGCAGTGCTAATAGACACATGTTCATTTTCATGATGTAAAATAGAAATTTTCTTTTTAGTGGCTCAGATTCTATGGCTTCTGTGTTGTAGAGTTGCTCTTTTAAGACTTTGAAAGCATGGAAGCATGTCCTTTGGGATGGTGGCAGAAGCATGAAGGGGCATTCGAATGGTTAGCATATGTGGCTTGTTAAATACCTTACAACAGTGTTTCTTAAACTGTCTTCCATGGCACACTAGTGTGCCACGAGGCAGTCAGAGGTGTGCCGCGGAGAACAACAGGCAACTTTTTTTTATCAATAACTTCCCCTCCAGCCCTTTTGGGGCGGGGGAGGGTCAATAACTTTTCCCTGCCCCCCCCCCCTTTTTTTCTCAACAAAAAATCCTTGGTGTTCCTCATAAAAAACAAAAAATTGTTTGGTGTTCCTCAGTCTTAAAAAGTTTAATAAGCACTGCCTTACAATTTTGGCTGAAAAAGTTGCATGTGAATGCCCATTTTCACTTCTTGGTGACATTGTAAATAATAAATGGGCCGTATTATCTCCTGCAAATTTAAGCAAAATTGTTTGTCTTAGCAATTGGCGGAACAAAAGTAGGACTGAGTGGATTGGTAGGCTGTAAAATTTTGCATTGTTTTATTTTTGAGTGTAATTATGTAACACAAAATCTATATTTTTAAGTTGCATTTTCAAAATACAATGATTTCACTATATTATTTGTTTTAGATGAATCAAAAATACTATTTTTTAATCATGGCAAATATTTTTAATTTAAAATAATATAAAGTGAGCAGTGTACACTTTGTATTCTGCATTGTAATTAAAATAAATATATTTGAAAATGTTCCAAAATATTTTAATACATGTCCATTGATGTTTTATTATTTAACAGTGCGATTAGAATTGCAGTTAATGGCGATTCATTTTTTTAATTGTGATGCATTATTTTTAGTTAATAGTATGACGGAACTATGTGTAGGGTGACTGGATGTCCCATTTTTAAAGGGTTAGTCCCATATTTAAATAATCCTGCAGGCATCCCTACTTTTTTTCCTATATTTCTTTCTCTCCTTCTCTCTCTCACTCCCCCCCTCCCCCCTCCCCATTAATACTGGTGGATTCTATTGTTGGCTAGATCTTTGCTCATCAGTTGTCTGTCCACCCACAGTGACTGGGATGATCCACTGGCTTATGGGAGGTGGGGAAATGTGCAAGGCTTGTGAACGGGCAGAGCTGCAGCATGCCAGGATTGGCTGCTCCCCCTGCTGGTGTGTCAGTGCAGTCCCTATAGCCCTTGGTCTGTAGGCTCCCCTCACACCTATGCCCCCACTGGCTGCTTGCTACTGGGGCTGGTGAGTGCAGGCAGGCGGTATGTGGTGTATCACCTCTGCTTCACATCCTTAGTCCCTTCCTATGAGTCCCGTCTCACTGTCTTCCCCCTGCTGTGTCCATTCATCCCCCTTCCCCAATCCCTCTGTTCTTCCATGTCCCACCTGACATGGTGCATCCCTGTTTCGGCACTATGCGGTGAATCTGCCCTGGTCTGATTATTCAGATCACCAGCAGCCTATCTGGCAGGCTCCTCCTTCCCCCTACTGTCTCTGACTGGGCCAGCACGCTGAAAAAGCTCATGATCCTCTGGCCTGGGGGATGGCCAGGAGGATCCAAATCCTCCATGTGCCAAAGCCCCTCGCAGCACTGGCATGAGGAATTTCTCCCCTCAGCTAAGCTCTGGAATGGTGAGGAGGCAGCCATTTCCATTTTGTTTGGTCCCCAACCCTGCAGGTCGCCTGGCAGGGGTACTTAGCACCCTCTTCACATGCTGCCCCCACCCTAAGTCCTGCTCCCAGGGAGAGCGGGAGCTGCTCTGTCCTCTCTGAGGCGCCCTACCCTGCTGAGCCATCTCTCTGGTTGAGTTCTGTGAAGTCTCTGCAGTCAGGTTCCTTGTGCCGGGGCACTCAGTGCAACCTTAAGGCTTAACCCCTTCCTGCCTGTGCTGTAGCTAGGGGATAGGAGGTGGCTGGGTTATGTCAGTGGCCAGCATCAGCTTGGAGGTGTTAGCTGCCTTTCAACACTGTAAGTAGTAAGGGACAAACTGCTTCTAGCCCTGGTGAGCAGGGGGTGGGAGAGAAGAAATTACTTCTTGAAAAACATGGGCAAGGTCATCTGTATCCTCACTCCTTTTCAGCTGGTAGCAGTTCCCATGCCTTCCCTACCCCATAGTGCCAAAAGGCTGCTGCTTGCCACTTTCTGGTGTGAACCCTGATACAAATCTGGGAAGGGAGCCTGGACCCTGCATGTACCCCACGTTACCTGGCACCACATCTTCTCAAGGTATCAGGAGAGGCCGGTCTGCCCTGGGGGGGCCAGCCAGCATGGAGAAGGGAGAGCACTGGGAAGGGAGGACTGGGTCAGGTCAGTCTGTCACCTCCATCCCTGTACGAGAGAGGTGTACACAGATGTGTGTGTCACCTCTGCCTGTGAAAACCTTAAAGATAAGAAGATAAAGACTCCAGCTATGCAGTATTTGTTTTCAACAGGGATTCAGTCAACTTGATGTTAATTTGAACATTTGTACTGTATAGTTCTGATTGATTGCCATTGAACTCTCTTGAAAATGAGTAATTTTACCAGGTGTCCTATATTCCACATTGGGGAAATATGGTCACCCTAAATATGCAAGCTGCTTAGTATTCAGCAGAGATTGAGACAGTTTTCAAATAGAATATTGCATGAGAATATTCATTCTTCTTAATTTGTTCTTGGCATCCAAATGAATCTGAGCAAACATGTATTTGAGATTCAGTTCTTATCCATGTTAGAGACTGCTCGGATGCTGTTCTTTTCAGTTTAACTGCTTGGGTTCTCAATGCACCATATAGAATGTATGCATAGTATCTTGTAATCATTTTAATCCTAAATCAAAAAGATTTCTATTTATTTCAGCTTTAGATGATTTGCAATCACCTTTCTCAAATGGACCCAATAACTTGCTTAACATTTTCAGTGTGATATAATGATAAAAAGTAAATAACAAAAACCTTCAGTGAAATAAGTAGATGGCCTTGGCCCAGATTATTATCTTGTGTCCAGTTTATTCAAATTAATAAATCAGTTTGTCTTGTCTTATTTCCAGGAAATGAATGGCATGCTAAAGAATATGCTTTCAGAGTGGTTTTCTACTGGTTTCCTAAACCTAGAGCGAGTCACCTGGCAGTCACCTTGTGAAGTGCTTCAGAAGATTAGTGAGTAAGTGCCAAGTATTTCTAATGCTTGTTGATGTAGTTTGAATAACAGGTTGGCCCTTCTACAGACACATGTGTAGATCTCAACTTAAGAAATTCCATTCCTGTGTTATACTGCGAAGTATGATTAAGGAATTGCAGCCTTATGCATATTATTTAGCACATACATTGACTTTAATGGAATTATATAAATCATAAACAGTAACTTTGGGGCGCAAGATGATTCATGTTTATGGTCTTACTTAACAGAAATTAAAGCAATAGGCTCTGATTGAGTATGCTTAGAGTGAAGACGAATATCACGTGGGATGGCCATAAAAGATATTCGTTCTGTTTTGAGCTGGTGAATTCTACATAGCAATGAGTCAGTATAGTGTATTAAGACCATATATCAAAATATTATTGTCATTTTTCAGCAGTTGTTTAAAATGGTAACTTAAAGTGTGCAGAAACCAGTGTAAAATATAAAAATTAAGGTCAAGTGTATACAAGTGCCTTGCCAATCAAAATCTATTCATTTCTTCTTGTTCTGTATTCAAAATTGTATTGATTCAATTGGAAATATATGAATCAAAGTTCTATTCTGTTGATTTTTTTTGAACACTTAAGAAAAGCTTTGAAGAAAACAATATCTCTTCAAGCAAGAGTTGTGAGGGCAGGCAACTTCATTTGCTTTTTTTAAAAGAAAGCAAGCAAGCTGGTAATACAGGCTAGGTTTACAAAACAAAAATAACTAATAGACAAGGGTTGACAAACTGCGGCAAAATCTACTCGCCAGCCCTGCACTGCGCATGGGCCAGACCTGCATAGCGCATGCACGCACCACCGGTGAACGGGGCGACCAGCTGAAATCTACTCGCCATGGGCAGGTAGATTCTCTGATTTGTCGAGCCTTGCTAATAGAAATTGAAGTTTTTCAAACTAGAGACTGGAGCCAAAGGATTTTCGGACTAAAGTCTGCCTTAATGTATATTTAAAAAGGAGAATATTTACTGTCGTTAAATGAATATTTAAAAAGCTAACTAAAAGAACTTGTGATCTACAGAATTGTTTATTAAGAAGTTATTTAGTTCAAGACTTCAAGACTATCTGTGATTAATCTGATACAGATAAAGTATTTGAACAGAATACTAAAATTAGTTGAGGAAGACTTCACATTGTTGATTCACTACATTCTATGAATCCTTTTGAAATACTAATTTATAAAACTTCCACTAATATCTATACAGTAGAGTCCGGATTATCCGACCTTCAGTAATCCGACATTCTGCTTTATCTGACCCTGCAGCTCCGGGGGATAAAGCGGTGCCGGCAGGAGCGGATCAGCGGCTTCAGGGCGCGGGCTGGGAGAATGGCCCCACTCACTGCCCGGTCGCTCTCCTGGAGCCACTGATGCTGCTTGTGCCAGCGCCGCTTCGTCCCTGGGAGCTGCAGGGTCAGATAAAGCACAGACCGGGACAATGGCCCTGCTCGCTGCCCCGTTGCTTTCTTGGAGCCACTGATGCCTGCAGCTCTCTGGGACGAAGCGGCGCTGGCAGGAGCGGCATCAGTGGCTCCAAGAGAGCAACGGGGCAGCGAGCAGGGCCGAGCGCCCGGGAGCTGCAGGGAGGGAAGGGGCCAGGGCCAGGCAGGGATGGGGACCAAGCGGCGCTGCTACAGTAGAGTCCCTATCCTCCGACATTTTTGGTAATCCGACCACCTGTTGGTCCCGTTTAGGTCGGATGATAGGGACTCTACTGTATTCCATTTTTAAAAAGACACAATTCTGTGTGCATGGAACAAAAATATTAGAAATAGGATACAAAGGTTGGATTTTTAAAATTTGTGTTTGAAAATAGCATTCCATTATAATAGTCATGTTACACCGAGCCACGTTGTGCTTTTCATCCAAAGCTTTCAAAGTTCTTTACAAGGGCAATCAATTCTTTATTGTACTATTGAGGAAACTAATCCCTAAAGAGATGTCATATACCCAAGGTGATTCAGTGAATTAGTGACATAGTTGAGTCTGGTCTCCTAGGTAAAACACAAACTGCAAGCCTATGAGAATAGTAGCGAGTATGTTTAGTGAGATACATATTATATAAAATCTATTATGTTGCAGGTTGAGGGGGGAATTTCATCATCTCCTTAAAACCTGATCCTTCCCCATTGATATCAATAAGAGCACTACCATTGACATCAATAGGAGCTGCGCTGGTTGATACAGTGGGTAGGGTGAATTCTTTTTTTTTTTTTTTCCTCAGATGTAAATCCTAAAATTTTTAACCTTCTATTCAGCTTTGAAGCAGTGCATCCTGTCAGAAATTGGCTTGATATGAAACATCGCGTTGGGTCATATAGAAGGTGCTACTTTTTTGCCCACTGTGCAATCCCCAGGGAACCACTGATAGTCTTGCATGTAGCACTAACCAATGAAATCTCCAGCAGCGTCCAGGTACAGTCAACAATATATTCAGCACCTACTTCAATGTTCAAATTGCTAATTAGGCTTGTTTAAAAATGTTGATTCAGAATGGATTAGAATTCTGTGTTAAACTCTCAATTTTGAAAATCCAAGTTAAATTCTTGGTGCTATTAATGGCGGTACTTACTTTTTCAAGAATAATTCATGTAGTTTAATTAATGACTTGGGTGATTTGCTATTTTAAACCCTGTATTATACTTCATAAGGGGATACTTCATAATCTTTGCTCATTGAAAAAAAAAGTTTGTTTTGGTTGTGTTAATGATACCTGCCAGTATCAGTGGTCAGTCTCTCCCCTCAAGCCGCCCTAGTACAGTTGAGAAAGCTAGCTTTCAAAGCAGTTGGGATTCAGAATGTTTGAGCTCTTAAAAATATCTGGTGATTTTGTTGTTATTGTTCAGGAAATATCAAAATGACTTAGGAACCATTTTTTTAAAGTGACAGTAAATGGATTCTTAAGTTATTTGCATGCTTTTGAAAAAAATTACTCCTGATCTATCTCTTGCACATATTTTGAAACTTTCTGATTCCTGATGGTTACTAATTAGAAAGTAGATTTTTGTGTCTTGCCTAAAAACTTCAAATAGTCCCTTTGTTTATGTTTTATTATTCTTTTTAATTGTATGCAGTGATAGGGTTTCCAGATGGTATTTTTTGTGAAACTAAGAATGGCAGGAAAAAAATTGGTTGAGCAAAAAAAAAAAAACAAACCCCAACCCCCCCCCCCCCCCCCTCCCCCCGCCAAAAAACCACACAAAAAAGAGTTACTGTGCCTTTAAAACCCCACGCTCCTCCCCACCACCCACCCCTACCAGACGTGGCAGGGGAAGAATGTCCTAAGCGGCCGTATGTTGCGAGAAAAACAGAAGATACCAGATATTTTACATGTCCAGTATTTTCTGGGTTTTTTACCAAACAGAAGCCGCAAATACCGGACAGTACTGGACACCTGGCAACCCTATGTAGTGATTAGAGTAGCCTTTTTTTTACTGTGCTCGAGTTCAACTTTGTCTCAAATTGAATACAGTAAGATAATAGAAAAACTGTCTTCATTATTAAAGCTAAGATTTAATCAGGAGTATTTTTAGTGAAATTCATGGATATGTCACAGGTCGTAAACAAAAATTCACAGTCTGTGGTGTGTCCATGACTTGTACTATATACCCCTGACTAAATCTTGGGTGCTCTGGTAATGGCCAGGGGCACCATGTATTCTCTGGGGCCAGGGGTTAATGGCCTAAGACTGGTGCGCTGGGGCAGTGGCCCAAAACGTGCTCCAATAGCGGGCAGTATGACTGACTGGGGGCAGGGAACCTCTCAAGCTGGTTTAATGATCCTGTACAGTCTCCTGCAAAAGTCTTGGAAGGTCACTGAATCCATGACCTCTGTGACAAACTTGCAGCCTTACTTGTTATTAATAAAGCAAAGCACTAGAATAACATACACCGCAGAAGTCTGGTGGTGACGTTAGTATCTTTTACTGATTTTTTTTTTTTACTCCTTATGTTCACAGGCCATAGTGAAAGAAGTTCCCCCTCTAGAAACAGAAGATATGAACAAAATTACAACAGCAATTTTTTATTCAATCAGTTTGACTCATCAGGGACTTCAAGGTGTAGAACTGGGGACTTACCTCATCAAACGAGTTGTTAAAGAACTGCAGGTAGGTAACTTACACTTCAGGTTGTTTTCCTGCCAAAGTCCTTTTTTTATATTGTTTTTCAATAGTTACTGGCTCATTGCCCAAGATGTTGCGCTTACATGGATACCCATTAGTCTTTGAAGATCTTCTTAGGGCTAAAAAAGCTTTTTTCTTCATCTGTACTTAGTAAATCAACATTGAATTTAATATTGGCTCCTTGATCATCTGTTTTTTTAAGAAATTTGTGTATCTCCTACTCGTTTAGTAGCCTTCTTTGACAAAATACCTCTTAGCTGACCTAATTACAAGGGATTTCTTATGTCTGAATGCAGATTTTTTTTTTCAGTTCATTAGAGTTTGTGTTATTACTGATCTAGATATTTACCTCTTTCTTTTTGACAACAAGTTGAATGTTTGGGGTTCAAATTTTGATTAGACAATTTATAATGGGCTTAAAAGGGCTTTGAAGCTGTATAAAACATCTTGCAATCCAAATCTGTGATACAATTTTTATTATTCTAAATGTTTTCTATTTAACTGATTATGTTTTAAACAAAGTTGAACTTTTTCTATAAGTAACTTAATTTCTACACTGGTATAGAGTTTAAGGTTTTGGTATAGTACAAAAATTGTGGAATGAAATATTGCAGCTAAGTCTAGATTAATATAAAAGTAATTGCAGCTATTTATTTATCATTGGGAATGTCTTGCTACTAGTTAGTTTAGGGATCAGCAACCTTTTCAGACCAAAGAGCCTAACTACATTAAAATTCAGAACAAATGGTCAGCAAAGAGCCATATAAAAATGCCAATTTGCATGACTGAAAATATACAACTTAATCATTATGCCAATTATCAATAATATTAATAATATCATAAATGAAATATTGTACTCAGACTTTATTTAAAGGGACTTCTGCTGCTGCATCTTTTTGCATGTGTCTTTTAAGTTTATATCAAAACTGGTCAAATCCAGCTTCATGCATGCATTCAAGCTGTTTTCTGTCAGTCTTGCGGCGGGGGCTGGGGATGTGGAGCTGCAGGAGTCTGGGTTGGGGCATGAGGGGGGATCAAGGCTGGGGATTTGGGTGTATGATGGACTCAGGGCACAAGGCTGGGATGTGTGGGGCAGTATTACAGCAGCGGCCTGGTGATTTGGGGATGCAGGAGTCTGGGGATGTGGGGTTGCAGGAGTTTGGGGATGTTGGGGGTATGAGGGGCTTGGCAAGGGGTTCAGGTTTATGACGGGTTCAGGGTTAGGGTGTGAGAGGGTGCAGGAGTGTTATGATGCTGTGGCCAGATGGGGGCTGGGCCCCAATGAGGAGCTTTTTGGCCAGGCTTCATTTTTAAATACAGGCAGTCCCCACTTACGCGGATCCGACTTATGTCGGATCCGCACTTACGAACAGGGCTTTCTCGCCCCGGAGCTCACAGGCAGCGGTCAGCCAGAGCAAAGCCTCAGAAGCGCGGGGACCCCGCCGTGGCTGCGGGTTTGCTCCCGATGCCCCTGGTCTGCTGGGGACCGTCTCCAGCAAACCAGGGGCACCAGGAGCAAAGCGGTCCGGCGCCAGAGCAAAGCCTCAGAGGCGCGGCACCCCCCCGCTGCCGCTTTGCTCCCTGTGTCCCTGGTCTGCTGGGGGGGGGGGGGGGGCGGCTAGGGGGCCCCCCCCCCCCCCCCCCCCCACCGTTTTGTTAAATAAACAGAATTTCTATTTTTGAAAAAAAGTGTATTTTATTTGACATCAGGAAGGGGGGACTAGGGAGGGGTAAATGGAAGGACGTGAGGGAGGAATGGGGCACAAGCCCCCAGTGGGGCAGACCAGGGAGGCTGTTAGTGCTCCTCAGAGTGGAAGCTGTCCTTCAGGGCCTCCTGGATACTGACAGCCCCCCGCTGGACCTCTCGGATGGCAGGCTCCAGAAAGAG